TAGTTCCCCGGAACCTCCTTTTCCCCCTTTTTAGAGAAGGGTACTAAAGTTAGTCCTTCTCTAGTCTTCCAGAACCTCATCTGTCATCCATGAGTTTTCAGTTATTATTGCCAGTGGTTCCAAGATTTCTTCAGCTAATTCCTCCAGCGCTTGGGGGAATAGCATCCACCCCTGCTGATTGAATTCATTCAAATTAGTCAGAAGATCTCTGATGTGTTTTTTACTTATCCTGATCTGCATCCCTTCCCCTTCATTCGTCTCTGGTCACATGTTATTTTTTGTGTGAAGACTGAAGCAAAGTACTCATTGAGCAGCTCCACCATCTTATCATCTTCTGTTTCCAGCTCACCTTCTCCATTGAGCAGCGGACACATGCCATCTCTGATCTTTCTTTATTGCCTGGAACCCCTTCTGGTTTGTGGCTAACATTTCTTCTTTGAGTGCTTGCTCATGTCCATGCCATATTAGGTGTCTGTGCTTGCCACATGCACTGGTGCTGGAAGATTTTCCCCTTAGCAGTGTCTGTAGGGGACCAGCTCTGGTGCCATCTGGAGTGGTGCCCGCATGGCACAGTATAAGGGGCTCCGCTGGCTTCCCCCACCCTCAGTTCTTTCTTGCCACCAGTGACGGTGCTGGAACGTCCGCTGCTTCGGCTAGTGTTGTTTTGTTCTCTGTTCTTGCAAACTTTGAAAATCTGTAAAATGGTTGTGTGTATAGTTTCTTAGTTAAACCCTTAGTAGTAGTTCTCAACTCTTCGTTAGTCCCAAATGGGACTCAGCTGGGGGACAGGGCATGCCCCGGTCCCCAGGCTTTACACCCTGCTATCGCTGTAAACAACCTGTGCCCGTCAGCGATCCACATACCAGCTGCCTAAGGTGCTTAGACGAGGGGCACATGTGCCATATCTGCAAATGACAAGTGCTGTATCTGAAAATCCTTTAAACCTAGGATGAAGAAGGAGCGCGAAACTCATTGAAGGGCGCTCCTAATGGAGTTGGCACTCACTCCGGCACCAGAGCAGTGGTCTGACTCTGCACTGAGCACTGTGGCCTCCATGCGCAGTGCTCCACCAGCGCTGTCCATGAGCCAGCACTGGTCTTCCTCCATGGCTCTGGTCATGAAGGCGAAGAAGAATGTGACGGGATGCTCTCCTACCTCCCTCAAAGGAAAGAGAGGGATGGGGGCGAGCCACGACCCATGCCGGGCAGCTCAACGCAGCCTTCAGGAAGTTGGGCCTCATCTCAAGTCGAGCGGTGCAGCCCATCCTGTACTTTGCCTGCAACTCCAGATAGTGGTGCAAGTCATGACCACCTTCAGATAGCATCGACACTTGAAGCGCTTCAGGCAACTCAGGTGATCCTGACACTCCCAGTGCCGCCCTTATTGGCTCCCGTGGTACCTTGGTCTCGGGGAAAACCCACTTTGGGACCTCTGTGTGTGTGTCCATAGGCACTGACTCCATGGGTGCTCCGGGGTTGGAGAACCCACAGGGAAAAATTAGTGGGTGCTCTGCACCCACTGACAGCCAAGCTCCCCTCACCCCGTGCCCCACCTCCTCCTCCTCCTCCCCTGAGTGTGCCGCCTCCCTACTCCTCCGCCTACCTCCCAGCACTTCCCGCCTGGTGTTAGCATGCTCCAGGTGGGAGTGGGAGGAGCAGGAATGTGGCATGCTCAGGGGAGGAGGTGGGGAATAGGCGGGCCCGGGGCAGGGATTTGGGGAAGGAGTTGGAATAGAGGCAGGGAGGGGTGGAGTTGGGGCAGGGACTTTGGGGAAGGGGTTGGAATGGGGGCAGGGAAGGGAGTGGGAAGAGGTGGGGCAGGGGTGGGGCCTCGTGGAAGGGGTGGAGTGGGGCGGGGCTGGAGGCGGCGGGTGGGGGTTTGAGCACCCAGGGGAAAGCGGGGAAGACGGCGCCTGTGTGTGTGTTCCAGCCCCAGTGGCACCGTTCCCCATCAAGAGAGACGTCCCACCAGCGCTTGCCTTTGTGAAGCTGTCACACCGCGGGACAAAAGAGGCAGGCTCAGCGGAGCCCCCTTTGGTCCTTGCACCAGGGGCATCGATTGAAGGACTTGAGCCGTTCCGCACCAGTCGATTGGCACAGACCCTCTGGGGCATGTGCCACCTGGCAAGATCTGTGGAATGGTCCCCGACCAACTGCAAGGGCCCGGTACTGATCACAGGACCGATCGGGGAGCAGAGCCCGCCAATTGCCCAGTCTTCATTACCCATCTCCTAGGAGGAGATTGCCTTTCTCAGGACATTCCTCCTGACAGCCAGCCTGTAGTGGCTCCCGGTCCCGTTTGACATCCCGGTACCGGTTGAGCAGCGTGAGGCATGGATTGCCAGGTGTCTGACGCAGATCCACCGAACGCCATTGGTCTCCGAAACCCTGACCAAGGCACCCGACTCGCTCAGACAGGTCAGCTTTGGATTGAAGCGACAGGCACCAGTTGGACAAGAGCCACCGTTCTGCTCGTTTCTGGTTGCCCGGTACTGACCGCTCCACTTACTGCTCCAGCATGGAGCAATGTTCACTGACTGCGGGACAAGCCCTGGTACCTATGGTGATGCCAGCATCGATGGCACCGAAACCGGTTTCATAGCAATAGCAAAGTTGCCGGCACCATGGTACCTGTGGAATCCTTGGGGATTCACTGAACCGTCCCAGGCTGCCCAATCGGTGTCAGGAGCCTCGGAGAAACCAGTGGCCTCAGTATTCTGTCCCCCTTCGGTGCTCGAGGCTTCAGGGGGTAAACCCCGCAAGTCTAGGAGGACCCGGGGGAGGAAGGTGCTGGACCACCAGTGAACTTGGAGGTTCCCGCGGCACTGTGATAGCCTCGTCTGGTGACGACAAGGACGATCATGGGCCCCCTTACCCGGTTCCTCAGGATGACACCAAAGCGCACCAGGAACTTTTGAAGAGGGTCGCTTCCAACCTGGGGCTTCAGGCAGAGGAACTGCAAGAGCCTTCGGACTCTGTTTGATGTCCTCGGCTCCTGCCAGGGTGGTCCTACCCCTTCATGAAGGGGTTTCCAAAATCACTAATGCCCTGTGGCAGACCCCCTCTTCCTTGGCCCCTATCTCTAAGAGAGCCGAACGCAAGTACTTTGTGCCAACCAAGGGGCATGAGTACTTATACTCCCACCCTGCCCCCAATTCTCTTGTGGTAGAGGCGGTTAACCACAAAGAGAGGCAAAGACAACCCGGGGCCACCCCCAAAAATAAAGACTCGAGGAAGCTGGATCTCTTTGGATGTAAGATTTATTCATCTTCCAGCCTTCAGCTGAGAGTGGCCAACCACCAAGCCCTTCTTGGCCGGTATGACTTCAATATGTGGCAAGCCATGGCCAAGTTTGAAGAGTCGCTCCCTGAGGCTTCCAAAAAGGAGTTCCGAACAGTCCTCGATGAGGGCACAACTGTGGCCAGGGCAGCCCTCCAGGCAGCTTCGGACGCTGCTGATGCTACTGTTCTTACTCCAGCTTCCACTATCTCCATGCGGCCAGCCTCCTGGCTGCTCCTTTCTGGCTTTTCCTCTAAGGTTCAGCAGTCAATGCAGGATTTGCCCTTTGACAGCTGAGCCCTATTTGCGGAGCAAACAGACAGCAAGTTGCATGGCCTCAAGGATGCCCGCACCACTCTGGGTCTTTTTACATCCCAGCCTCGGTGCATAAGCAGTTCAAACCACAGCAGCCTCAGGGCCAGGGGAGCCAGCCTCGGCAGGACCAGCTCCACAAACGAGCCAAGGGCTACAAGCACCGTCTAAGCCAACCTGCTCAACCCGTGCCAAATAAGGGGCCAAATGGTCATTTTACGCGTGCGCCCAAGGGCGACCTATCAGACTATTCCCACGATCCATCTGTCCCAGTGTTCTTAAACCACCTTTCCCTTTTCCTCCCTGCTTCGACCACTGTAACCTTGGACCGATGGGTCCTCAGCACAGTGGACCAGGGTTATACCCTCCTTTCTACCCCTCCCCACACCCGCCTTCCCCATCCTTCTTCAGGGACTCCTCTCACAAGAGTCTCCCTGCACAGGAGGTAAAGGGTTTGCTACAGCTGGGTATGGTGTAAGAAGTTCCTTTCGAGTACAGCAACAAGGGGTTCTTTCCCAGTACTTTTTAATACCAAAGGCCACGGGTGGTCTACGGCCCATCCTGGACCCGCGAGACCTCAACAAGTACCTCCTGAGGTCTGTTCCAACCCTAAACTTCTATGATTCTATGGCTTCAACCATCCATTGTTTTATGAATTACAAAAGTATCTGTAACTGAGTCATTATGACAGAAATCATCTGTTAGAGTAATTCCTGATAAGCTAAAAGTATCTCTTGATAGATCATTATCTTATTAATCATAGAAAACAACTGCAACATATTGGTTACCAGTAGTCTCTTTCTGGGCATATGGACTAGATCATTTAAAGTTCAGTTTAGGTTCTGCTTGAATACAAAAAAATATAAATACAAGGCATGCTGGGACTTTGGTTCACCTACAAAGAATAAAAAGAGTTATGGTAGTTTGGTTCATTTACTAAGAAGTTAAATCAGTATAACCAGTTTTAAACCAATATGAGAGGTCAAACTCAAAAGTTGCAGTGGTTTAACTAAACTGATTTGCTAAACTAGTGCAACTTCTGTGCATACACATGCCCTTAGCTAAACCAATTTAACCCCAGGGTTATCTGATTGAATTGTGTGTGTGTGCTGGGGGCTTGCAGAGATTTAACCACTTAAAAATCAGTTCAGTTAAATCAGTGCAACTTTGCGAATGTAAACTAAGCCAAAAGCCCACACAGACACTAGGGGAAATAGGTAAACCAACTGTATGCAAAATAAATAAATTGGAAAATATTCTCTACTTGTGTTATTTGTAAAAAAAAAGCTCAGGCAGAATGTGACTTTTGAATTGACAGACTCATTTTTATAAAGAAGTGTTACACAATAAAATATTTTTATAGATTAAAGCTTATTTACATAAGAATGACTTGCTTTATTTCTTCAATAGGAGTCAGAGCTCTGGCCTTGTCTTGCCCTTATTTACGTGAAGCTTCATTTAAGAGATGCTGCAATGTATCAGACAATGGAGTTCTTGCTCTGGCGCTCAACTGCCATCTTCTACAAATAGTTAACTTAGGCAGCTGCTCAGGCATCACCGATGCATCCCTGCATGCGCTTGGACAGAACTGCAGATTTCTACATAGTGTGGATTTTTCATCGACTCAGGTAACTAAAACGGCACCAATAAAAATGTCAATGACAGTGATATAAATAAAATGAAGAGGTGAGTTTTATTAATTGCATTTTAATTTAGCTGTGTTTTAGCAGGTTTTTAAGATTCAAAATGCCAAAGGCACATATAGTTCCAGACACTCTTTCCCAATGAAATGGTATTAAATATGTCCTGTCTTCTGATAATGTAAACGTATTCTCTCCAAGTGAGAGTTACTCATAACGATATCGAACCTGGAGCACAGATGCATTTTTTTTTTTTATTAAAGCCTGTCAGGTATTCGAGTTTTCTTATTGTGCTGTTGGTGTTACTCTGTGCCATAGGAATATAACCTTACACCGGTTAGAAGGACTAATTGGTCTGTGTGGGGGATAACATGCTGAATTGTATGAGTCATACAACCAGTAAAAGCATAAGACAAACTATAAACACCTGATGATAACTAATTTTTCACTTCTCAAGGTTCAGTCACTCTTGAAAGAAAGAGTTGAATGTGCAAAACAAAAGGTCTGAGTGCATTGTACTCTGAGTCCTCTGCTAAATTTATGCGTTATTAATAATATGATCAAGACAACACTTAATCTGTGCCAGGACTTGCCCAGGGCTCAGCACCTCTAGGCTTGGCAGCTCATAGCCCCGGCACTTCTAGGCTTGCTGCGTCAGTTATGAAAGTAAAAAAAATTGCTTGAACCTCGGCACCTCTTTCATTACAAATTAAGCACTGGATTAAGCTGGGATTTTGGTCCTGTTTTGTGACTTTTTTTCTTCAAAATAATAAGTGTCCTGGCATTTTATGTTCCATGTAAAGCTAGTGGTTTTTTTCTTTTTCCTTTTTGTGAAGCTTCTTAGTGTTCTGAATTGTACAAGGCGTAGTGGAAGGCACTGTCTCAGACCCACAGAGTTAACTCTCTAATTTAGACAGACCTCACAGTTGAAATGGTTCCTTTGGTGATTTTTTTCATTTAAAGGCTTGTGAAAGAAGTATGTGTTAAGAGACAGGATTTGAAGGAGAAGAGGGTAGTTGACTGCTGCACAAGGAGGAGAAAATTGCCAATCAGAGGGGGGAGCATGGAAGAATGCATGAAAACCAGAGTGGGAGACGGAGTGGCTGGGGTGGTGCCTTGAATGGACTTGCAGGAGAGAGGTGGGGATGAGGAAGAAATAAGAGCAGAGCTGTATGCAGGAACAGTGGAGAGCAGAGGTTTGCAAACTACAATGGGGCTCAGCTCTCATGTGCGGCAAGGGATGTCTCAGTTCCCTGATTTCCTGTCCTTCGCCCTCTGCTGGAGCAAAGAGGAGAGAGCATCTCCTGGTCTGGCAACTAGACCAGTCCACCACAGGCCTTAATTTGATTGGGCATGGCGCAGCTGCCAATCGGGGGGAGGGAGTAGAGGGGGAAACCACTGCTTCCTTCCCTCCCTCCCTCTCTCTGAGAGAATCACCATACAAAAATAATTGGGTGAAGGGAGGAGAATACACTGTGATGTCTGGGGGGTGGAGTGGGAAGCCTACACTGGGGCTGCCTCAGAGACCAGGGGAAGGAGAGTGGTGACAGTTGACCCTTAATCTAAACTTAACAAAAATTCATATGCTAGTGTGCTTAAGATAGTGGTAATAATTAAAGCTGTAATGCAATTAGGGATACACAAAACATATTTTATTTGAATAGGTTTTGCAAAACAAGTCCAAAATAGTAGGTTGAGGGGGGAGAGGGGATTTTTGGTCTGTGTAACAGCATTGATTTATTGAGACCATTGGAAAGTATATTGATGGGGCCAAGTGGGTTGTCTCTTTGCAGGAGAGGGAAGGAGCCTGCACTGAGAGCAGGAGGATGTTTGCCAGACCTGTGGGGAAGGGAGGTGGAGGCATGGGAGTCTGCACTGGAGAAAACCCATGCTAGGTAAGGCCTGGGAGGCCTGGGCATGCTTCTGATAGAGCAGCAGAGCAAGTCTCGTCAGCCTGAGAGAGAAAGAGAACATGGAGTGAGGAGAGGGGGCTAGGAGGAGGGAGAGCTGCTGCCAAGGCACCCTGCAGCCTCAGAAAGAGCAGTGGATGGAGGGATTCTGTGTTTTGGGGGAAGGAATTATTTGCTAGATCTGACTGAAAGGTGAGGCAAGGAGCCTGCAGTGGTTTTGCAGTGCAAGTTGCCATGTGATTTCCATTCCAAGTGGAGGGTGGGGAAGCCTTGTTACATCTAGATCATATTATACAAGTCAGATTATTGGTGTTCTAGTTGGCTGCTCACATTTAGGTTTGGAACATGTGAATTTCAGTTTGTGTTTTCTCAGTAAACTATGGGGAGACACAATTGGTTTTTGTTTTTCCTTAGCTTAAGGAGACTCACTATGACAAAGTTTGAGAACCCATAGTGTAGAGCAAAGCCATGGACCAGAGTCTTGAAAGTGAGGGAAAGTCGCTGAAGGATTTAAAACAGGGGAGTGACATAGTCTGGGCAATGAAAGGGAGAGAGAGCTGCTTTTTGCTGCAGCATTTATTGTGCAGACTGAGGGTGAAAACTGGAAATCTGAGTACAAGAAGTTGCAAGAGATGAGCAAACCGAGGACAGGGTTTTAGTGGAAGGAATGGACAAGAAAGGTTGGAGAGATTGTGGAGGAAGAACCAACAGGGTTTCTCAACAGCCTGGATTTGGAGGGAGAAGAAAAGAGAGGAGTCAGACATGACAGCAAGGTTTCAAGCCTTAGTGACTGGGGAATAGTGGAACTATGGACTGTGATAGGGCATGATGCAGGGGGCAGAGGAAGATAAGGAATTCAGTCAACAGTGATGTAAGGATTTCTTTATGTTGAGTATAAGCAAGTCATGGAGTTGAAATCTGAAGGCAGGTCTACACTACAGGGCTAAGTTGACCTAACTTACACAGCTCCAGCTAAGTGAATAACTGGAGTCGACGTAGCTTCAGTCGACTTACTGCAGTGTCTACACTGTGCTGCGACGGAAGAAACTCTCCCATTGACTTACCTTATGCTTCTCCAGCTAAGTGAATAACTGGAGTCGACGGGAGTGCGATCGGTGGTTGATTTAGCGGGTCTTCACTAGACCCGCTAAATCATCCCCCGGTGGATCGATTGCCATACATCGATCCCCCAGTAAGTGGAGACAAGCCCGGAGATTTGAGACTAAACACAACAGGTTTTTATTTTAAATACCCTTCTTATCTCCTTCAATTTCACCAGAAGCAGAAAATCAGAAATCCTTCTGAACTTCTCTTCTAGTATCTTTATTAATACTGTTACTACCTGTTAGTAGATATTAACCATTTTAGTCCCCTTTTCCTTTTTGTGTTTTTAATTCTTGACATATTAACTATTCTCCCAAAATCTTTATGGTATTAGCAAAAAGTGTGTTTGAACAATAAGGCCAGAGTGTCGGTTTATAACCTGAGAGTAACCTATGTTTAGGAATTTCACATGATTATTAGACTGCACTTCGTTAAGACTGGTGCCTCCAAGTTTGTGGTAAAATAGATGTCCAGGGAAGAGGTACCCTCAAACTAGTAAAAGTGTCAACAGAAATAGAGAGAGAGAGAAGGTGGGTGAGGTAATATCTTTCATTGGACCAACTTCTGTTGGTGAGAAAGACCAGCTTTTCTTCAGGTGTGGGAAACGTTTCTCCTCATCTCTCTAATATTCTGGGACTGACATGGCTACAACTCCTCTTCCTCTTTAACATTCATTGACTCCATATAAGGAAACAATTAGCTTTTGTTTATCACGCGTCAAAACTGTTAAAGAGGATAGTTCTTGGGAATGGTTTTGATAACTTTTCAAATAATATAGACACTGTCAGATCTGAAATTCTTTCACAAGCTTTCAAAGTGCTGAATCATTTCTTGGTTTGTCTTCACATACAGCTCTTTAGAAGAAGATGCTACTATACCAATGGGAGTCGGTGTAATTAATCTACCTCCTCAAGAGGCAATAGCTATGTCGAGGAAAGACGCTCTCCTGTCAACATAGCACTGTGTACATGGGAGGTTAAGTTGGTATAACTACATTGTTCAGGATGTGGATTTTTCTGAGCAACATAGTTATACTGATATGTCTGAAGTGTAAACCTGGCCTCAATCTTGGGAAAGCTGTGATTGGAAAAAATTTGTCAGTGGAGCTCCCTCACAAATGCTGTTGCTATGAAAGCTAGGGATTTGTGCTTTCTCTGGCTTCTGTTCAAGTTTCTACCAAGCAAAGTTAGTTCAAAAAGGCTAACAAGCCTGCAGTTGCATGGGACCGTGAGTCAGAGACAAGTTGAAATATGACACTGTTTGTGTTCCAGTGCTGTGTGATATTAAGTAGGAGCTGAGTCCTACTGATTGAGAGATGTCTGGAGATAATAATTTGTCCCCTCAGGTATAAGGAGAATTACCAGCAATTTTCCCACCATTGGTCTAGCATAAGTGCAGCTCCATTTGTTGCTTAGTGATGGAAGCACTAACAAAGACTAGAACTACTAGTGCAGGAAGTGAAAACAGATGATATAGGGGTAACAGAAACAGGGTGGAATAGTAACCATGACTGGAGTATATAGGTATTGAAGTGTATGTGCTGTTCAGGAAAGACAGAAGTGAAGGTAAAGGTGGTGGAGTATCTTTGTATATTAATGATGAGGTAGACTGTAAAGACAGAAGAAGCAATGGAATGGATAAAAAGGAACTCTATTTGGGTCAAAATTACTTTGGGGAAGACAGGTAACAGAGGCTGCACTGGGATAGTGCTTGTGGTCTGCTAGAGGCCCCCAGGATCCAATATGGATATGAAGAGAGACCTATTTAATATTTTAATGAAATAAATACAACTGGGAATTGTGTGATTATGGGAGATTAATTTCTCAGATATAGATTGGAGGACAAGTGCTACTACTAATGGTAGGGCCCAGATAGTCCTGCATGTGATAGCTGACAGATTTCTTCACCACATAGTCACTGAACCTATTTTAGATTTAGTATTGGTAAGTAGTGAGGACCTCATAAAAGATGGGA